CTGTGAGAATCATGCTTACTTGTTTTTTTTGTGTGTGCTCATTTTAATAGACTCTCTGCACATTTACACTCCATAAACTTCATAGATTTTAATGAGGCTATTTAAGTTGAAGATTATGCTCAGATATAATCACTATAGCATGTGCTTGATGAGGAGATGACCTTCTGACCTGATCTGATAAGATAGGCTTGTAGAGAAAACTGAATCTATTCTGCAGCACTTGAAAAGGATGCACCTTTTAGGAGCACTTATCTGACAATGATAGCAATTACGAAGGTCAGGGCTTTTTGTCATGGGTGTCAGAGGTAGGTTGCCTTAATACACAATTAACTGGATACGTAATCTGTCCCTTCTCGTCTTCCAGGCATACAAAATACATTTGCCCGACACACACGCACAGACACAGTGCCCCAGCCACTCTGGGCGGCTTCCAACATATATAAAAACATAATAAAACATTAAACATTTAAAAACCTTCCCTATACAGGATTGCTTTCAAACGGCTCAGGGGTCAGATAAATCCATACCATCCAACATTTCTCCAGTGAAAATAGGGACATTCTAAGGAACATCTTAAAGGGACGTAGGTGGCGCTGTGGGTTAAACCACAGAGCCTAGGACTTGCCAATCAGAAGGTTGGCGGTTCGAATCCCCGTGATGGGGTGAGCTCCCGTTGCTCGGTCCCTGCTCCTGCCAACCTAGCAGTTCGAAAGCACGTCAAAGTGCAAGTAGATAAATAGGTACCGCTCTGGGGGAAAGGTAAATGGTGTTTCCGTGCGCTGCTCTGGTTCGCCAGAAGTGGCTTAGTCATGCTGGCCACATGACCCGGAAGAACTGTCTGCGGACAAATGCCGGCTCCCTTGGCCAGTAAAGTGAGATGAGCGCCGCAACCCCAGAGTCGGTCATGACTGGACCTAATGGTCAGGGGTCCCTTTACCTTTACTAAGGAACATCCTAAGAGGCGTTTCAGGGTCAAATCAGAAACTGGGACGGCTTCTCTGAATCAGGGATTTCCCTCGGAAAATAGGGACACTTGGAGGGTCTGGCAGATGTGGTAAAGACCTGGTGGTTTAGTGGTGAGGAGATCTATGGTCATTTTAGTGAGAGCAATTTCAAAGGAGTGTAGAGGGCAGAATGTAGATTGTTATGACATGTATTGGCACAGGGAAGCGGCGCCTGTAACTGCAAAAATAATATTCTTTCATTTCGTGACTTTTGCATAGTGGGATTTCAAGCATCTCAACTAACCCTGAGAGTTGCACATCTTTAATAATGCCTGTAACAGACAACTAGTTGAGAAACTAGCTTCTTTCCTGTTGTCTTGCTCAGAAGCTTCTCCACTAGTGTATGAATCGTAATGCTGATGCAGAAGTGATAAAGCATAATGCTTCTCAGCAGAGTTTCAGTATGGCTACACTAGAGCTTACACCTGTATATGGATTACAGCACCTCATTATGATAACGACTTAGATAGAAGAGAGAGAATACATAGAAGAGCAACAAATATTAAGGAAGGATTAAAAATGGCTCTGTTCATGGATAGCTAGGGGAGTTTAACTGCATACAACTTGGAGGAAAGGAGATAACAAGAGAATGTGATAAGAACCTGCAAATATTTGAGAGGGACTAACAGAGGAATGCGGGATGACTTACAGCGGCTGAAGCAACGTAACAAGAATTGGTGTTTTAAAGTTAGCAACATGAAAAGCATAATCTAGAATAATTATGTTTACCATGTGGCTTAAACATGGAATGATAGTATTGGTTCAAGTCACAGGTTCGTTAATGCCTTATATGGTTTTCAGTATCTCTTAGAAGTTACAGGTAGTAAGAAGAAAATCCAGCTCTTTTTCCTCTGCTGAGCAATGTATCTACACTTACAGCACAATCCTATTTGAAAATAAATCCCACTGAGTTTAATGGATCTTATTTCCAAGAAAGTGGGTATAGGATTGCAGTTTTTATATGTTTCATTTGTATACAGGTTGTTGGTTGGTTTGTTTTTAGATATAGCAAAGGGCTATTGGGTGCACAAGGCTGCATGAAAACTAAATTTCCTATTTTCACATACAATTTGGAGAACTCCCTCTCATTAGATCAGTTCTTTTAGGCTTAGTTACTACTGCTGCTTTCCCTGTGGCCAAGTGTATAAGACAAGGCTGAAGCCCAAAGCAAAATTTAGGTAAGGAGGTAATGGCACCTGTCAGGGAACTGCCATCGGAAGGACAGGAGGTGCAAAGGCTCACTGAGGTTGAGAGAGACGTAGCAGCTGAAGAGGGAACCAGTAGGGGGAGAGCAGGAACTCCAAGGGAAAGTGAGTCGGAGGGATGGCTCAGAGACGCTTCCAGCGAAAACAGTGGGGAGGTCTCAGGACCTCCTATAGGGACACCCACTCCTCGCGGAAACTGTCACGCCGAGAGTCCAGAAGACGTGTTTCCGTTAAGGAGCTTTTATGTTGGAAACGATTCCGAAAGCAACCACTTTCGGATTCTGCTAGCGATTGACGCAGCCATGCCGGAGGGGCTCCGTCACAGGCAGAGGTTTGAAAACCTGATCAAAGTCTGAGGGACTTGCATTTTACGCACAAGCAGCTCATCATCCCATCACAGCACCCAACTGGATAAAATTAAGAGGTAGGCTGTAAGAATGTGATACTCTAGAAAACACAAGTGGAATAAATCTCCTGCTCCTGCAGCTGGCACCCATAAGGAAAAGCACCAACCGCTTAAGAATTAATACTCAAAAAAGAGAAATCAGCTGTGCTTATCTGATGTGCAACTCTGGCTCTGTTAATAGAACCACTGAAACTCCTTTAGGTCTGCCAGCTCTAAGGAAGATGTAAATATTGCACCTATATGGTTGGCCAACATGGAAAAACTTCATTCCATAGCCATTTGATAGAACTAGATGTGATGTAAGAAATCTCTGATAAGGATTGCCTGCTATTTGCTCAAAAATTAATTAGCACTTCCTGGCAGATAAATCAGAATGAGTATGTGGAACTAGTGGAAGGGAGACGTTAAATCCAAAAAAACTGCCAGGGAGGGGAAAATCCCGGTAACTACTGCAGGGGGAGTATTATCAGGAGAACATGGGGTAGAATACCGTATTTTTGCACCATAGGACACACTTTTCCCCTCCTAAAAAGCAAGGGAAAATGTGTGTGCGTCCTATGGAGCGGATGCAGGGGGAGGCAGGCGGGAAAAGCCCCCAAGAGCCGCACACAAGCTCTGTGCGCTCTTGCGGGCTTTTCCACAGGAGGGAGAAGGGACTGACTGGCCGCATCAGTCCCTTCTCCCACCTCCCAGAAAAGCCAGGAGAAGCCGCGATCTCTTTAAAGGGGTTGTGCGGCTTCTGCGGGCTTTTGGGAGAGGTGAGGGAATCCCCCCACCACTCAGGAAAGCCAGAAGAAGCCGTGCAGCCCTTTTAAAGTGTGCGGCTTCTGCCGGTTTTGCGGGAGGTGGGGGAATTCCCCCACTTCCCAGAAAAGCCAGGAGAAGCCGCGATCTCTTTAAAGGGGTTGCGCTGCTTCTGTGGGCTTTTGCGAGAGGTGTGGGAATCCCCCCACCTCCCAGTAAAGCCAGGAAAGCCCTGCGCAGCGTCTCCCGGCAAGGAAAGGCTGCACGGGGCTAAAGGGGAAGCCAAAACAGCGAGCGGGATCCATCCCGCCCCTGCCTTGGCTTGCTCCATAGCTGTGCGCAACCCCTCCGGCAGGGAGACGTTGTGCGCAGCCTGTACGCTGCTCTTTGGGGCTGGGGGGGAAAAGATTTTTTTTCTTGATTTCCCCCCCTAAAAACTGGGTGTGCCCTATGGTCCAGTGTGCCCTATGGTGCGAAAAATACGGTAAATATCCTTCCCAAAATGACATTGTCTTTACTTGATTTGACCTTTCAACCTCTGGTGCCTATGTTGTTTTTTTTAAATAAAATCATGAGAGATCCTAATCATTTGCTTTGTGTCTAATATGCCACATTACCAAACTTTTTTGCTCATTCATTGTGAAACAGATCAAAGCCCTTAGACGTGTGTCCATATTTCACTTCTCTTCCATAACCTTTTGCCTGCCCCTTATTCAGTGCTTGTGTCACCCATTCTTTCTCTCCCTGCATAAATTAAATAAAAATCACCACTCTCCATCCAAACCTGCTAAATAACTTAATCTTCTACCTACCCTCCCAACCTATATAATTTCTCCCTTCCTGTGTAGCATAGTACAAGAGATGCACTATAGTGATCTCTTCTTCTGTATAGATTTCTCTGGAAAACGATTCTGTATAGATTTCTCTGGAAATTGACTAGTATCCTCCCTTGTAAGCTTTGGCTTCACGTAGGCTTCACCTTTCATTTACTATACCTTTCATTTACTATATGCGGTTTTCAGCCTTTAGAAGAATGCCCCTGGCTTGCTAAATTATCAAAAACAAAACAAAAAACAACAACACTCACCATCATTCTGCAGGGACCTTATTTTAAAACATTTTGAGTACCTCAGTACCAGGGAGCTTAATATGACAAAATTCAGCCCCCCCCCCAAGAATCAGTCAATTACACTCCTAATTTTTTATACCTTACATCCAGGTGTGTAACAATAGATAAAGGTAAAGGGACCCCTGACATTAGGTCCAGTTGTGCTGACTGGGGTTGCGGCGCTCATCTTGCTTTATTGGCTGAGGGAGCCGGCGTACAGCTTTCGGGTCATGTGGCCAGCATGACTAAGCCGCTTCTGGCGAACCAGAGCAGTGCACGGAAACGCCATTTACCTTCCTGCTGGAGTGGTACCTATTTATCTACTTTCACTTTGATGTGCTTCTGAACTGCTAGGTTGGCAGGAGCGGGGACTGAGCAACGGGAGCTCACCCCATCACGGGGATTCGAACTGCCAACCTTCTGATCGGCAAGTCCTAGGCTCTGTGGTTTAACCCATTGTGTTTAACTATTGTGTAACAATAGTTTTTAGCTAATTTAGATTAATTCTCTCTTTTTAAAAATTTCTTTTGTAGGAATGCTGTCTGTGTAATTTGAGAGGTGGAGCGCTCAAGCAGACTACCAACAGAAAGTAAGTGAATTCTACAGCAAAGCACGGGGGGTGGAGCAGGATCGGGCTTGGGAACCAAATTTTGTGTTTCCCCATCCTGGTGGACCATTTTGACAGGTGGATGGCTCCTCTCAATTACCTGATGTCACCATGATGTCAGGTGACCCATCTTCAAATTAAAGAAGGGGGGGCACACTCTTAAATGCCTTCCTGGTTGTTCTTCCTTTGCAGCCCGGCTGCAAAGAAAATTCTCAGATGAAACTATGGCTTTCAGTCAGTGCTGCAGTGCTAACTTCAAGCCCAACGTTTTGCACGGATCAGCTGTATCTTGAAGCTCCCAGATGGGAACTCAGGGAACTCTTGTCCTTTCTCTACTTCAATATCAATATGTGGTTGTCATGAATCAGCTACATGTGCACCCACCCTAATTTTTTAAAAAAATCTCATAATTTTGTTGCCACCATGATTTGTGTACGGTTTGGCACCTCTGAAGAATGGTTGTAACACATTTCCCCAAAAACCTGTTGGTGCAATTTTGTATTATTTTGATTAGCCTTTCTGTCAAAGAGAAGTGGGTTTTAACTGGGTTTTAGAAATGGCTGTGGAAACTTAAAGAAAAGATTACTGCTGTGTTACTTACCTTTCCTTGCAAACTCCACTTTTAGTGCTGGGTTTTAAATTTCAGTTAGCAGGCTTAGACAAAGACAGCTTCAAAATGCAATTTACGTACAGTATTCTTTTATCTCTACAAAAATGAGCTAACATATGGACCTCTCTTCTCCAACTGAAAGGTACAGGTAGCTTCCAATTAAGTTGCTAAGTTAGGTTGCTGCTTCTTTTTAAATGCATTTTGTGAGCTAATGTGCAAGTTTTGTTTTATCATCCTCTCATGCTTAAATATTCCACACTCAGCTTTTGTTGATGACAATATAAAGGAAGGAAATGAAAGCTCATTTGTCATTGTTTGCATGGGCAAGTCTTACAGTTTTATCTCATGTTCAACTTATTTTTCTTTAGCTCTGGAATTCTGTGATTATGATAGTTAATGTGGTATCACTAAACTTTTGATAGAAATGAGCATTTATTAACAAAATAATCAATCTGAATCAATTTAGACTAACTCTGGAACTCAAGCTGGTTGGTTTTATTACTATTACATACAATAGACTCAGAAAATAGCTCTGCAGTTGACACCATACTCTTTGTAAGACAAATATTCTTTAGTCAAATAGAGCAATGTTTTGGCTTATCAAATGATGGAACTAAAGGAAGCTTTACCAACATGGTACCTGCACAGACTTTCCCAGGTAACCACAGGTCTTTCCTCCCCTTTTTGAAATTAGACTCGAAAGAAGCATTTGTTTGTAACCAGCTATTGTTGTTGTTTGTGATCCCCACAAAAGTTTTCCCCGGTTTGCAAATGTGGCCATGGTTCCCCAAAGGCTGGTGATCCCTGAACCTTTTTGTTCAGTTGTAGAAAAATCTGTACCACTAATTCAGTGCTATTTTTGTGGCATTCTTCAGTCATTTCCTCCAGGAAAAGTGTGTATTTCCAAAAAGACTTCCATTTAAAAGCTCTCTAATTCAAGCCCTTTCATTATTAGCAGTGTTAAAGACAGTCTGAATGGGCAGAAATCTCCTCTTGGTTGACTTTCACTCTGTTGAATAACACTTAACAATTTATGTTCTGGATATTCCAGGAACTTCCCACCCTTGCCTTTTGTTTTGAAACATCAATCAGGTACATGCTTGGATCTTTATGGAACGGACAGCAGTTTAGATTAAGAGCGAGATTAAGCAATAACTTTCCCCATGACTAGGTGGACAGGAGCGTCTCCACCCCCATCGTTCAACCTGGACACTGAGGTCCAGCTCTGAGGGCCTTCTGGCGGTTTCCTCATTGTGAGAAGCGAAGTTACAGGGAACCAGGCAGAAGGCCTTCTCAGTAGTGGTGCCCGCCCTGTGGAACACCGTCCCATCAGATGTCAAGGAGATAAAATAACTATATGGCGTTTAGAAGACATCTGAAGGCAGCCCTGTTTAGGAAAGTTTTTAATGACTGATGTTTTAATGTACTTTTAATCTTTTGTTGGAAGCTGCCCAGAGTAGCTGGGGAAACCCAGCCAGATGAACGGGGTATAAATATTATTATTATTATTATTATTATTATTATTATTATTATTAATTGACAGGCCACCCCCACTTGGTTCAGCCTTCTATCCGGAAGGTTGTTCCATACCTCTCTGGTTCAATTATAGTCAGCAGGACTACTTCACACAGTTCTGATTCATCACTTCGGAAAGTTGCGAGGAGGCTGATCTTTGCTATTTTTTCTTTCTTTCAATTTGCTTGCGCTGTAGCTTTCACCCCTTCCTTGCCTCCACCATTCCTTTGTTTCCTTGCCTTAAAGCTGTGTTTGTGATTTTGTTTTCAGGGCTAGTTAGGACCCTTTGCAGAAATACCAGCTGGAATATTCTGAAGGGGAGAGATACTTCTAGCTTTGAACTTAACTGAGAAGAGTTCAGAGAAACCAAGAGGATGGGACTGACTGGACTTGGGCTCAACAGCAGCATAATTGGCCACTCTGCCGCTGCTGGAGCCTTAGCAGGAATAGGAAGTATCCCTCACAAAGTGTATGCAAAGGAATCCCACTTGAAATTCATTATTTCTATCCAGTGAGGGTTTTATTTGCTCCCCTTTTCTAACAGAATCCTTGCTTGCCACAGTGATGGCTCTGAAAGTTTTAAACTGACAACACCATCCTATTCCTTCCCCATTTGGACAGGAAATATTCACACTCCCAAGTTTTCCAATTTCTTAGGTCTCCTGAATTGTTCTGTTCTTGCTGTATCTGGCTCTTGAAAGCCAGGAAAAGGACTTTAATTTTTATTTATTTTATTTAGAAAGATTGATAGATCATAAGAATCATTAACATAATAAAATTATCAATACAATAAAGCAAAAATCCACCAAACTGTTCAAAAAACAAGTATAAGATCATCATCAATTTAAAAAACTGACAAAACTTGCAAAACTAAAATAATCATAGATAACTACTTTAAACTACTACTTAATATATAACATTTCCCCTTTCCTGGTTCTTTCCTCTTCTCCCTAAGAAAACTAGGTTTTTTGAAGACTCACCTTCAGAGTTCCCTATTAGGCAATTCTCCTACTTTAGTCTTTTCTCTCTATCTCTGGTTACAAAAGTAGATGATCTAGGCAAGGCATGGGTGGTCTAGTCTGTGCATCCATTATTAGCCCACTCTTTTCTTTATTTTTTCTGTAATGGTGTTTCAAGCCACAATACTACTTCCCTTGCTCTTAAATTGTCTTGTTATCACCTTTAAGTTTCTATTGATTTATAAATGAATATTCTAATTACAGCTGCAGTGTGTTTATTGCTTTCTGTCTGGAGCAAGCACACCAAGCTAAATCCCCCAAATTAAGCAAAGTTATCAGAGCCAGTGCCATCCTGTCTATGTAAAGATCTTGAGAGTAATATTGCTAATTCCCTCAAATTACACAAGTACGCATGTAAGATGTGTCTGTATGTGAATGTGTGCACTAGTGCACTAGCGGAACTGGTAACACATTTTTGAGCAGTGTTCTATAGGTGGTCATATGGCATGTGTAAATGATTAATGGCTTGGTTTAGATGGTCATTCTGGGCTTCATAAACTGTGGTTTGTGAAGTTGGGCATGAGTATTGGGCCCTGGTACCGCACACCTCATCTCCTGGCTTTAATACAAATCTTTGCGGCAGTTATGTCTGAACCAAGGGACTCTAGCTTAATATTGATCGATGTCTTTATTTCTCAAATGTGGTATTGCCATACAGATAAATTTATAATACATCTGCCCAGTATTTTAAATTAGCTGCAAATAGTTATTATAATCTCTTTGCAGTCAGCTTTTTAGCTAAATGTTAATTAAGCATCAAGTATCTCATAATAGAGTGCTGACGGAAATAAACAGATTTCAAAATATAGATCAAGGAAATGTCAGCTAAATTGAATGCAGCACTTTTCTTTGATATCTACCGATGAGAGCCCACAAAAGGCATGTATGAAAATGAAAATCCTTTCTGTGCGTATTGTATCTTAAAAGAAAAATCATGAATGAAAAATGTGGGAGTGGTTTCTGTTTATAGAGGAATCCTACTTCCACACGTTTCACACGTGTTTCGTGTCTTTTCACAACACTGTGTTTTGCTATTTTTTGTGTTTTGACTCGACTGGCAGTTTTAAATAGTAAAACAATCGCTTTCCACAGGAGTCCGTAATTTCCTATAATCACCTCACTGGTTTCCTCTTTTAATACATTTCCTATGAGTAATATCTACCAATCCTTATTAAGTTATTTATAAAGACTTTTTTTCAGAATGTAGAGAAACAGGAAAACATAGTGGGCAGTGAAGGATGGTCAGAGAGTTTCCAGAAAAAATGGATTTCCAAAGTCACGGGACCATTCCCATAAAACCCTGTTCTAGACATTTGCAGATACAGAATCACAACCCTGGGTAGAGGCTCTTAATACACAAGAGCTGTGGTGTAGTGAGACAGGGAAAAAGGACCACCCACTCTTTTCACAGCTGGAACCATGATGTCCTGGGGTCCTATTTTCCATTCTCCTGGGGTGCATGCCAGGTTTTTGTCGCCTGAGAAACCCACCAAATCGAGAAAGATTAGCCTGCAAGGTTAAGGTATAAACTGCATTTTCATTTTGACTTCTGTTTAAGCCCCTTTATTATAAATCAACAAAAATGTCACAATATAGTGAGGAAACTTTGGAGTTCCTCCGAAGTCTTCGTAAGCTTGATTGTTCTATAAGGTGGTAAGAGGGCTGAGAAAAATGCTGGCTTCATTGCATTGGCCAAAATTCATTTTTCTTTTATATCCAGGCTATGCAGGCATGGCTATTCAGGATATAATGAAAAGTGCCTGCACCTAAGGATAACGCTACACCCCTAAACAAGAGTGTGTTTTTCCCCTGCACACCTTGGCTGGCCAGCTGGGTACATCAAACACAACCATCAGGGAGCTAGGCAAGTTATACTTGTCGTCAGGATTAAGCAGCTTCTGCTGTTTCTTCAGTATGCATGATTATCTCAATGCCACGAGGAACGCAGCCCCAGGACTCTTCATACTGCGTTTTCTAATAGAACTGGAACTATTTTCAAACAATACTTGTAAAGGACCTCAGAATAAATATTTATGGTATTTATTTCTCACCAGTGGCCGGGATCCAATCCTCCTATGTGTAGACAAAAAAGTGTTTCCAACTTCCATTCTATGTGTGTCAGTTTCTGTTTAGCTGCATCTCACACCATTATATGTGTGTATGTGTGTGTTTATATTTATTTATTGTGCTTTCGTTAAGGTTTTTTCCCTTAAAAAATATAAACATAACAAGGATAGGGAAGTTAAGGGAGAACAAATAACAGCTCACAAGGGAAAGCCCTCTTTCCATGCTGAATCTTGTTCTGGAGATGAGGTCCTCAGTATTCCTTCTTGGGGTCCCAACACCCTCAGGTGCTTCCCTTGGTACTTTTCTGACATTTGCAGGGTTGTTTAGTTGTGGGGATGCTTTTTATTTTTGGATGCGGAGGCTATTGTTTGCATTTCTGTTTTGTGCCCTATCTGTTGGCGCGGTGGTTGTCTTAGCAACACCATTCTTTTCATTGCTGAGATGGATCTTCTGTGGTTTCTTAGATTTCCACCGGTGCTTCCAGAGCCAAAAGGATTGGGGACCCCTGCTCGCACAGTGCTCTGTATGTGGTTCTTTAGAGCTCAGCCAATATGTAACAAGTTGTTCCAGTAATGGACTAGAATATTTTCAACAAACCTTTTCGAAATTACTGGGCATGTATGAATGAGGATGGAATCAAAAGAAATGTTTGTCTGATTTTACATGCCAAGGGAGCCTTTGACCTATGTTTCTTTAAAAACAGCAGCCCAGTTGTATATGGCAAACATATTTTGAAATTGTGGGAAGATTCAGAAGGATTTTGTGACGTGGCATCTGATCAAACAGAAAAAGGAAAAGATGTTGCTGGGTACCACCAAACATTGACATGCCTAAAGTAGTTGGATCTGAGCCATTATTATTACTGTTTTCGTTTTAACAAATGTAACACGTTATATGGTATGAATACTGTGTAGGCATATCAATTTGGGGAGGAAATTATGGTTTCTCATAGCATTCCTTGTGAAAAAAGCACCATTATACAAAGAATAAAATTTGAGAAATGCAGTGGGAAAATCTATTTCTCTCTCTCTATATATATATATGTATATACTTTAAAATGTTTGCATATCTTTCTTTTTTGTATTGTTGTTATTTACAGGTGGGCTCACGTCATGTGCGCAATTGCTATTCCCGAAGTGAGATTTGTGAATGTCATAGAGAGGACACCAATAGACACAAGCAGGATACCTTTGCAGAGGTTAAAACTGGTGAGCAGTAATGATCCAAATTTCTATTCTGACATATATTTTATGGTTCTAAGAATGTGTAGTAAACCTCCTTGATGATGTTCATGTTGTACAATTGTCACAGAGTGCTCAATTTCTGTTTTAAAACGCCTGTCAAAATGTGTGAGAACCACTGTTTTGAACTTCCTGTTCAAAATTGCATTCAGTTATATACTCGGTAGCTGTGGGGAACAGCTGTGGGGAACTTTGGGCCCTCCAGGAGCTGCTGAACTACAACTCCAATCAGTCCCAGCAAGCATGGCCAGGGATGATTGGGGTTTTAGGGTAGTAACATCCGGAGGGCCTTAGGTCCCCCACACCTGAACTGGTGGAACAAAACCATCATTGCCAGAATAGTCTTTAAGAAAACTTAATCTAAAATTTTCCTAGAAATAGCAGTGACTGAAAACACCTTCCGTTGGCTGGCAGGTTTATGACATCACAATTTAGCTTCCCTTGTCACTGCTGATCAGTTTTAGGCAGTGATTTCCTTTTCTTAAAAAAAAATGTGCCATGTTCCCTGGAATCCCTGTTTGTTAATCCTAGCCACGTGAGGACAGGCTGCTGTTACTGTTTATGAATGAAAGACATTCTGGAGATTGCTCCGCAGCAGCTGGAGAAGCTAAAATAATTAAAACAATTAAACACTGTTAGAAGTACAATGGTACCTCTGGTTGTGAACGGGATCCGTTCCGGAAGCCTGGCCGTATACCAAAATCTTCGTAACCCGAGGCGCCCTTCTGCGCATGCGCGTGCGACAAAACTTGGAAGCATACACTTTCGGGTTTGCCGCATTCGCAACCCGAAAGTTACGTTACCCGAAGGTACCGTAACCCAAGGGTCCACTGTAAATTTATATTGTGATTTAAATGGATTTGATTTAAATCAAATCCACCCTATGTATATGGCAAACATATTTTGAAACTGCAGGGAGATTCAGAAGGATTTTGTAACGTGGCATCTGATCAAACAGAAAAAGGAAAAGATGTTGCTGGGTACCACCAAACATTGACATGCCTAAAGTAGTTGGACCTGAGCCATCATGTAGTAGAATTATTCCTGTTGTTGTTTTAACAAATGTCACGCGTTATATGGTATGAATAAAGAGTTTTAAAATCTCTTAAAACAATACAAATAATTACAATAAAAACAGCAGGGCATCAGCCCTTTTATTAAAAGTTGTCAGTTCCCAAAAGTCTATTGGAAGAAGGTGGTCTACAACCTGCTGGCAGAAGCGCAACAAGGAGGGAGCTTCTATAGGGAGGGAGTACCAAAGTCTGGGAGCAGCCACTGAGTCTCCCGCATCCCCAGCAAGCGTTCCTGTGAAGGTGGTGGGACCTAGAGAAGAGCTTCTCCTGAATATCTCAAAACCTGGGCAAGTTTGTATGAAGGAATACAACCTTCCAGATTTCATATGCTTTATGATTTCATATGCTTTAGACTCTCTTACATTGCCAGCAACCATCCTTTAAAATCCCAGGTGAGTGAAGCTCTGATATGCATGTGAAAAAGATGGAAAAAGCACATGTAAAATAATAACAAAATACTACTAAACTATAATGTAGTGGTGCCAGTTCAGCACGGGTTCCCCTTCCATTGAACTCTTTTCAAGTGTCTGGAACAAAAAATTATTCTGCAAAATAGAATTGTGAATGTTTCCATTTACATGCGCCTGCAAAGTGTCAGCTGACATTCCTCTCTAATATGCAATTAGCAAGAAAGGGCAAGAAACTTAACACATGATGGTCTCTTAACAAATTACGTTGCAAAGGATGAGCATAACGAAGTGGGCATTTGTTGAGTTCAGCTATGAATTAGAATATGTTTGTCAAATAGTGGTAAAACAGAATATTGTATGATTTATGCTTAGTATGCTCCTACTTTGAATCTGGTTGTGTATTTACAGCTTGATGTAAAGTTCCATAGGGTTGTATCCCCATGTTGGGTCTTGTTGGAGTTGAATTTAGTTGGATACAACCCAGTATCTTTATCATGTTTCTAAATTTCTTCAGTGTTGTGTAGCTGAACTATGATTGGGAGGTTAGGACAGGGATAGTTGATTGCTTCTGCCATTCTTCAACATTATTCCTTTTTAATCCTATGGCTTCTGGGTTGTACAGGCAATAGTTATCAGTTGAGTTTGGGGAAAAGAAGAGACAGATTATAGAGAAGGAGACACCCCTGGAAGGAATTCCAGGTGAGAAACTGAAGGAGGAGAGGGGCAGAGGAAAGGACCTGCTATATATATGTATCATTTTTAAATTATTCATTCACATATTAAATTTTCTTTGTTCCTGTAACATGATGACATGCATTAGCATTTTGTTACAATACAGTTTACAGTTCATCCATACTGAAACGACAGTGATCACCGTTTTACACACTAAATCATGTACAGACCAAACGTCTATAAAAGCTCTGTTGAGCAATCTAACTTTCTCCGCAACCTTGTGAGAATTTGCACATTACTTCTCCAATTTTATGGTTGCTTAGCACAGGCCACCACGATTGTGAGATCGTACTGGATTGATGTCTATTATAAAATGTAACTCAGCGCTCCACAGAATGTTGAAAAGTATATGTGTATATGTATGAATAGGTCTGATAGCTGTGGCTAAAACAATAATTCGATACAAACCTCTAGGTCTGATTCTGCCATTATGTCAGCACTGCTGTCATTATGCCAGCATTGTTTTATTTCTGTTTTTAAATTCCTCTTGGTTTTCAGCAGAGTAAATGGCACAGGAATTTGTACATCTGTCTGTACCTTGACCAATGTTGGCCCCCCCCGCCACATAGTTTCCTATTATTTTTACATTTCAGATCTATTTCTTCAAACAGAGGTAGAAAATGAGTTTTAGAAAGACTGAAGTTGCCCTTGGGCTTTTGATTACCTCAAATTTGTATTTGAGAAGTGAATCCAATACAAGCATGAGTATATTTGAGTGAGAAATATTATTTTGAAAATAGAATTACACAGTGATGATGACTGATCTACAAGCCTTTCAGTATCTGGCTAAGGCTAAAGTGTTATATGTAGAAACGTATTTGCTTGAAAATTCACACCTGAAGGCAGATAACAGTAAGCTTGAAAGCCAAAGATTATAGTCTTGAACCCTTGAAAGGGGAAATCAGTTCAAAAAATAGAGATTTCACGGTGGCATGCCTGTATAAAGAATGGTATCTTCACACTGGACAAATATGACTTAAAAGCACAGGCATTGCATCTTCTGAAATATTTTAAATATTACTATTATTTAAAGTAGAACTAAAATCTTGCCCATTCTCTTTGATCTAATTTTGTATAAACATTAGAAGGTTTATAGAGACCCTTGTTTCTAGTTGTAGAAAAATACTTGACAGTGATGTATACCACTGTTGTCATGCAATTCTTGAAATATAAGCAAGTATTGATTAACTTTCAGCAATTTTAAAAAATATTGCTGCAGGCGGTAAAATCAAGGAAAGTCATTATACTGAACATTAACTTACACATTAACTAGCTGACTTTCACACATTTTCTGTTTTAGGGGAGAGCACTCAGGCGTGTTTAACCATATTTCTAAAATGTTTTTAAAATTATATTAAAATAGGAGGAATAAACGCTTCTTCTTTTTTTCAATTAGAGATTTGCTAAAATACAGAAGATCCTATAGCTGACTAACCCACCACTCTTATGTCAGTTAAATATATATGGATCCGTTAAACCACACAAAATATATGTTACCATACAGCCTTTTGCCACTCTCCCTATCTTTTTGGCGATCACTCATAGCCGAGTAAGATTGTCTTCCATGAAGGCAGTCCTAGCAGTGTGCCCATGAGTGACTGTGGAGGCCAATTTTGGATCTACACGCCCTTCCACAGTGGGGACATAGGTTTCTGGGCAGGAGTTGATCACGGTGAGGATTTGCCAAATGTGCCTTCCTTATAGCTCGCTTCTCCTGAGTTTCGTCCTGAGTTCATGCTTCTTCAAAGTCCAAGACACCTTTGTTAAAGGCTGTTCTCCAACTGGAGTATTGGCAGGCCGGTGTTTCCCAATTTTCTGTGCTTTATACTACTATCCCTATAGAGTTGTAATAAGTGGTTGTCTAAATTATGTGCATTACAGGCTATATCTACTGAATGATCTGATTTGCGCAACATGGTGAGCCAAACTATGTATTACCAAGACTCTTTGCTCCCCCCAGTCCTTTTTACTATTGCACTGTGGCTTAGCATGTCCAAACTGGGACCTGTGGATAAATTCCCTACTAACTATAAATACCTTTTGCAAACTGAATCTGTAAAAGTAAATGCAAAAGAATTAGTTACAGGTAGGTAGCCGTGTTGGTCTGCCTTAATTGAAACAAAATAAAAAAATTCCTTCCAGTAACACCTTAAAGGTAAAGGGACCCCTGACCATTAGGTCCAGTCATGACCTACTCTGGGGTTGCGGTGCTCATCTCGCTTTATTGGCCGAGGGAGCTGGCGTACAGCTTCCGGGTCATGTGGCCAGCATGACTAAGCTGCTTCTGGCGAACCAGAGCAGTGCACGGAAACGCAGTTTACCTTCCCACCGGAGCGGTACCTATTTATCTACTTGCACTTTGACGTGCTTTCGAACTGCTAGGTTGGCAGGAGCTTGGACCGAGCAACAGGAGCTCACCCCATCATGGGGATTCGAACCGCCAACCTTCTGATCGACAAGACCTAGGCTCTGTGATTTAACCCACAGCGCCACCCGCGTCCCTAGTAACACCTTAGAGACCAACTAAGTTTGTTACTGTATTGGTATGAACTTTCATGTATTCCATTAAACCTATTCTAGGTTTCAAATGATCAAAAGAATGAAATAAAGGTACAGAAAATACCAGTTCAAAACAAATTTCGTCACTTTGCTTTTTCAGTGTTCTGGTGTATGGAGCCCCATCTATCTATGTATATCAAATGTATATCAAATGAACTTATATTAATTAAGGAGTCTACACAGAATAACTAAA